ACACTGGCAGAAATACCCTCGGAGGTTTACCATTGCCTGCAGAGAGGTGAACGCTGTTTGAAAAAACTGTTTCTAATTTAGATGTTGCTCGGACCAGGGATCGAACACAGATCTTGCGGAGTGGTAGTACGCATCTCTATCAACTTTTCGCAATTTTATTGGCACATTTTCACTTTATTTTATTTAAACTCACGCATAGCATGAAAATAATGAATGCTCCAGAAAACGCATTGTGCCGGAAAAAATTTCCATAGGTAAACACTTAAAACAAAACAAAGTCAGTGCCCTATCGAAATATTTTACTCAAATAAAACAAAACATAAAAAGTAACTCCAACAACACTACCTACACCACATTAGCAATGCTTAACTTCAAGTTTAATGCCAGAAATGAAAGCAACGTCAATTGAATAGCAAAAAATTAGCAAAAAAATTCGCACTACTTGGACTCAATCTCATGTGAACCAAACGATCAGTACTTTCCTGCCGAGTGACTTTACGCGCATTTAATGTTTACAAAGCAATTGTTCGATAAAAATCACAAACCCCCACTCCATAATTATCAATAAGTGTTTTTTTTTCGTGATTAAAAATAAAATCACAGAACGATTTCAATATAAAAGCCCACTGGGTGCTAAAATTCAATTAGTGTCGGTTGTATATCAAAGCGCTTTTGTTACGAGCAAAATTTTAACGGTAATTAGTGGGAAAATACATTCGATCAGTGGCGAAATAGTGAACGTAGAAATGCACAAGGCGACCACACTAACGTTGGCGGCGTTTACGCTGTTGGCCTTATTTACTACCGCCACGCAGGGCAAGGATTGGTGGGAGAATGGCAATTACTACCAAATTTATCCGCGTTCATTTCGCGACAGCAATGGCGATGGCATTGGCGATTTGAATGGTAAGTGGAAGAGAGAGAGAAGCACTTATTTTTTAGAAACGAATTCCAAAAGAAATCCCCACATTTTCATTTCCATTCTACCTCCCAGGTGTCACCGAAAAACTGCAGTACTTGAAGGACATCGGCATCACAGCGGCGTGGCTGTCACCGATCTTCAAGTCGCCTATGGCCGATTTCGGTTATGACATCTCTGATTTCTATCAAATCCACCCAGAGTATGGTACTATGGAAGACTTCGAAAATATGATTAAGAAAGCCAAAGAGGTTGGCATTAAAATTATATTGGACTTTGTGCCAAATCACTCCAGCGATGAGAACGAATGGTTCATCAAATCCGTTGATGGCGATCCGGCTTACGTCGACTTCTATATCTGGCACAATGGCAAAATCAACGAAACTACCGGCGAGCGTGAACCACCCAGCAATTGGTTGAGCGCTTTTCGCTACTCCGCCTGGGAATGGAACGAAGTACGTCAGCAGTACTACTTGCATCAGTTCGCTATCAAGCAGCCCGATCTCAACTACCGCAACCCAGCTGTTGTGAACGAGATGAAGAATGTAATGCGCTTCTGGTTGGCCAAAGGCATTGCCGGCTTCCGTATTGACGCTGTGCCCTACCTCTTTGAAAAGGAACTGGACCGCAATAACAACTATCCCGATGAGCCAGTAATCGACGATGTGAGCAGCTGCCCAGACCCTGACGATGGCTGTCACTTGAAGCACATCTACACCCAGGATCAACCGGAGACCTTCGATATGGCCTATCAGTGGCGTGCACTGGCCGATGAGTTCAAGAAGGAGCATGGCGGCGACACACGCATTCTACTCACCGAAGCCTACACCAGTTTCGAAAACATCCTGCGTTTTTATGGCAATGGCGTGCAAAATGGCTCGCATGTTCCCTTCAATTTCGATTTCTTGACAAATGTTGTGAACAACACCAAAGCACCAGTGGTGGTGGAACACATCGAGAAATGGCTGAACGCCATGCCGGAGGGTGTGTACGCGAACTGGGTGTTGGGCAATCATGACAACAAGCGTCTTGCCTCGCGCTTCGGCGTGCAGCGCGCAGATCTCTTCAACATACTGCTGCAGACATTACCCGGCAATGCGGTAACTTACAATGTAAGTGACGGTTATATCTTTACTAAGAAACATGCTTTTTGCTGAACCAGTCTTTCTTCAGGGTGAGGAGCTTGTAATGACTGACGTATTCATCAGCTGGGAGGACTCTGTCGACCCGCAGGCCTGCAACGCAAATCCTACTAACTACTATGGCTATTCCCGTGACCCTGCGCGAACACCTTATCAATGGGATGCATCACCAAATGCCGGTAAGTGGCCTTATCAATAAGAGTGATAAGTTGAGAGCTATTTGACAAGTGCCACTGACAATTTCAACAATGCGCTCTTAACTCACTGATATATGTACACACATACCCACTCACGCCTTGAAGTAAACACTTCACATTAACTTTCAACAGGTTTCACATCAGGTGACCACACATGGCTTCCTGTGTCCGACGACTACAAGCAAAACAATGCTCTGGCACAACTACGTGCGCCACAATCTCATTTGCAAATTTTTAAGAAATTATTGCGACTGCGCAAGGAACCCTCTTTCCAAGATGGCGAATTACAAATCAAGGCGATCGACGACGATCTCATCATCTACTCGCGGTAGGTGTTCATTTTCTAACAGCTTCATGAGCTAAGAATTCATTCATTCCTTCCATTTTCACAGTCAAAAACCAGGTAGCGATCTTTACGTTATCGTACTCAACTTAGGCAGTACTGATAAGACACTGAACATAAACGATCACTATTCATTGGGCAGTCAAGCAGAGGTGATCACCACCTCCTTACAGTCACAGAACAACGATGGGTGCGTTAAGAAATGTGAGATCAGAATAGCAAGAGTAAATATTAATTAATATTTTTCCACAGTCAAATCATCGATCCTACCACATTCAAAGCCGAAGCTTATGTTGGCACTGTTCTGGTAGCAGTCTAACGAATTTAACCTTATCGTATAAGCTTTAATGGTATTAAGCAACAAAAACGCTCATCGCATGCAGACAAAAAACTAATATAAGATACAGAAAACTATTTATCTATGTAATAAATTTTCCAAAATTTATTTAAATTTACCTTAACAAATAAGTACTTATGAGTCAGCCAAATTGGTAATATTAAGAACAACTAATCATAATGGCGCGCCTTTAAATGCGCTCTCTTAGTCGCACAAAAATGCCATTCGCCGATTTCAAGGTCAGCACAGCCGACAAAATGGGATCATACTTGCTCGGATTGGGTAATCGTTTATTTTGTTCTTCGACTGGCAAACCAAGGAAGTGTCTCGAGTAGCCATCTTTCGAGGCCAGTTCATCCAGCGGTGGTAGGATTTCGAAAGTGCGCACTACCTTCGAAACCACCGTTTTTATTTCCAGCAGCGCGAACTTTTGTCCTGTTAAAATTGATAAATATTCTATTATTGAAAATTTGATATTTGTGAGCTCATTTAAAGTACTCACCAATGCAATTTCTTGGGCCCGCGCTGAAGGGAACATATTCAAAGGGATTCTGCGCACGCTTATCCGCATTCCAACGCTCCGGGTCCACTCGATATGGATCGGGAAAATGCTTTTCATTGTAGCCAAGTGCCATTAGAAATAGGTTAAGAGCGGTATCCTGCGGAATCACAAAGCCATCTGTTTGAAAGAGAGGCACAATAAGACTACGTGTAATTTGGGTTAACAAATTGTTACAACACTATCTAACATGCCCTTGTTTCTCGACCAAACGGTGTTATGCTTGCACATATTTATATTTTTGTTTACCCCTATCCCAAAAAGATGGGAAATCAAAAATGAAAAAATTGGTATACCATCAACGTATTTCTCATCAACGCATCGTTTTAGAAAAAAAAAAATACTTAATCGGTTTAATATTTTTTGAGTTTAATCGTGAAAAACATTCTCGATATAATCAGTTTTACGTAATAAGTATAGAATCAGAAAGGTTGCAGACTTTCGAGGATTTCGAGGGGCTTTGGGTGGTTGGACGCTGTCGCCTAAGATTTTGTGGTATGTAGAAAAATTTTTCGTTCTAACAACTACGCTTCGCAAACGGCTAGTCTTCGTTCTCAAAGGCGCCTTAAACTCGCAAAAGCTGGGGAGCTGACTAGTTTAAAGAGGACCTGACAGAGGTGGCTGCACTTATTATACGTTCGTCTATCTGGAAGCAGACGATCAGCATGGCCCCAGCTTGTCCAATTCTAATCGAGATTCATTCGATCACGGATGTAGTGATTCTAGCTCAGATAACAGACGGTGTACATTGATTTGGTGAAAACTAGTATTGCTTGTTCCATGCCACTCCCTGGAATCCATCACATTGCAACCTAATTTCATCAATAAAAAAAATTGCCCAGTACCATATACAGGCAGAAACTGATAAGGGCTATTTACAAACAGAAACTTATTTTTTTAAAGTTCATCTCTAGCCACATATCAATTTGACTCACTTATATCGTAGTCCTTTTCCGTGCGCCTACCAACCATCGGTACGCTGGGATATAGACGCATCGTTTCCTTTATTACCATGTCCAAATACGGCATGTCGGCAATTTGTTGGAAGGTCGTTTCTCCATTCAGGTTATCACCCAACACTCTTTGCTGCTCTGCATATACTTTTTTCTAAAAGTCAATAAATGACTCATGAAATAAGTGCTTATATGTACATAAGTACTTATTCGTACCTGTATCTCAGGATGCAGTGAGAGCAAATAAATAGTGAAAGCTATGCCTGACGTGGTCGTATCGTGCCCCTGTGAAAATACATATGTATGTACATGTATGTGTATGTGTAAATTTGTGTCTCAAACGAATTTTATAACTCACCTCGAACATAAATGTCGATACCTCCTCGTATATCTCATGTTGCGTTAAAAGCCGGCCATCGATTGTGGAAGACAGCAGAGTGTCAAGAAAAGCAAGCTTTTTGCTAGAGAACTCATCCTCCTCTCCACGCTCAGACCGAGTGTCTTCTAGTTTGCGTGCGGCTATGCGCTTTTTAATAACCTAGGAGTAAAAGGAGTTTAAGTAAAGCTATGAAAATTCTAGCCAGCTTAGAGTAAAATTAGCTTTATATAAAAACTAATATTATGATATATGTATGTACGAATCAAGAGAAATTAAAAATGCGTAATTCCCAAAAGTATTGTCTAAGTCCAAAAGAAACACAAACATTTATTTTAATTAATATCGAATGCTTATGAGTCGTGTAGAGTTTAAAAACGCAAAATGTATCGGTTAATTACGAAAGAGAATAAGTCAGCACTTTTCCCATAGAGCCCACCGATTCAAATGTAATATTTAAAGTTTTTCTAAATAGTTGAAGAAGTTTTTTTTTTTCATAAAAATGGGCTTGGCAACTTTTCTCTCTCTAAGTTGGCGTTATGTTTATGAAATTACCTCATTCGTGAAATCTTCTAAAATTTTTAGTGTTCTGCAGAATTTTGGATAGTCCGGCGTAAATTTGTATAACGTATTCGAACGTTTGATTGGATGAAAAGCGCGCATATTTATGGTGTAACACATGCTAGAAAAAATTAATTTTTTAAGTAATCTTAGAAAAATATTTTGAAACCACTTTTTTTGAGCACACTCACTCTTTGAACGCCTGCACAACTTCATGATCATGATTGTCCATCGCACCTATATGCACGCCCATCGCAGTATCTGCATTCGAAAAACTCATGGACGTTTCAAAAAATTTTAATATTTCTAAAACTATTAGCTCAGTCCAATAACTCACCACAAATCACATCCATCGTCAGATAGTGCGTCATTTCTTGAAAATCGAAAATGTTATCGCCATGCGCGACGATGCGTAGTTTTTCGATAAATTTGTTTGAATTCTGATTCATATCTTCATGAAAATGTTGCAAAATCTTGAAATGAAACGATGGTGTAATCATTTTGCGGTGTGTGAACCATTTTCGTCCGGTGCTGGTGAGCAGACCAGTACCTAGCCATGGATGAAACATATCATAAATATCTGATTTGTCTATCAGAGTTTTGCTTGTCAAAATAAACTGCAAAGAAAAGCAGGTAAGTATTTTTTTCTTTTGGTTTTTAATTTTTTTGTTACCTCCAAATCTTTGACATTTGTGATAATAATATTGCGATAGTAACCGATGTGCACGCGATAATTTTGGTAGTCGGAATCCACCCACCACTGAAAGAGCTGACTCAAGAGACCTTTGAATAGAAGAGAATAAATGAGAGAATAATTGAGAAAAAGTCTATAAAAAATTTATTCAAATAAGAGAAGCTATTGGAGAAAATATGCAACTATAGCCAGGGCTGGCAAAGATATGCATAAAAACATTAATTTAAGCGCTTAAAAAGCTTGCTAAATAAACAAAATATGCTAAATCCCTCAAGTTTTATGATGAAATTCGCGATGTTTTTGCTAGTTTGCTCTGAGATGACTTTCATTAAAGCTTCCTTAAACTATGAATAAAAAACTATAAATAAAATTATTGATGGAAACCATATATGTAATACTCCTATATTGGCAGTAAGAGCTAGTACCGTCCGAAAACACTACAGTACAGATATATCAATAAACACGTACGAAAGAAAAGGAACACATACGTTTATAAATAAACATGTACACAACCCATATACAAAAACGGCACTCAAGTACACAATAGGAGCGTTCCTTATCTCCCAGAAATAGTCAGAAAAAGTCCGAAGTAGTCAGATTTAGTCCAAAAAGCGTTCCTTAACTCGGAAATGACAGCAAAAATGAGAGAGCAACAGTCAGTGAGAGTGACTCTCATCAGTCCGAAGTAGTCAGATTTAGTCAGAAGAATTTAAATTAACGGAAATTAAAGAATACGCTAAAAGTGAGAATAATCTAAAAAGTAAAAGAAATGAATTGGAATTGGAAGGAGGCAAAAAATAATTGATATAGCAAGTGTTTATTGTGCTTGTGCTTGTGTGAATGTGTTTTGTACATACATTTCTGTTCTTATTTGACGTTAGTTTTGTTGTTGCCATTCTTTGGACTAAAAATTTGGTTTTTTGCGTTCCTTTACTTTTCCTGTTATTCTCTTTTAGTGAGCGCATTTTGCTTACGCTCTGGCATTTTGACACTTCAGATTTTAGTCCAAAAAGATAAGGAATGAACCTAATACATTGACAAAAACGGTACTAGACTGTCTCGCTTTGATTTCGGAATGCTTACACATTGAGAAGTTAGCTTACTGCCAATATAGAAGTGTTACATATATGATGGACACATATTTATGTATGTATGTATGCGAGGGCGGGTCGAAAATTTAGTTTTTCTCAAATCCATTAAAATGACAGAGAACACGCCACAAAGCATACTGGTCTTGTTAAAAATTTCCAAATATACCAAACTGTTTTTCAAATTTGCTATACTTTGCGAATTTTTAAAAATTTGGGAATGATTTCGGGAGCAATAATACCAAAATCTTTATTTACCATCATCGTGGAAAAATTTCATTTATGCAAATGAATATGGAAACACTTAATTAGCACAAATTGCACAAACACTAATTAGTTTACTTATTACTATGCATGCAATACAAAAATTGCAATTAAATGAAGTTCACAGGAATTTTTGTTCACATTTTAATTTTTAAATAATTATGTTTTTATCTGAAGGCTTTTTATCATATTATTATGGTAAATCAGTAACTGTAAACCTCGCCTTCAGTTTGGTAATTATAACGTACCGATCGAGTAATGTTTGTAAAGGTTATGTCGAAAAAAAGGGGATTCGACAAAAATTTATCTTAAATTGTATAGCTTCGAAATATAAGGAACGATTACGGAAAAGTGTGCCATGGATTGACTTGTTGTTTCGTTCAAGTTAAATACAAAGCTATATATATCCCCATTTGGAGAGTCCCAAGAAGATAGTGCATTTACCTACGGTCACTCTCTCGACATAATGAAATTAACTAAAATATTCACATATATGTATCTAATAGCTTTTTCTCTTCTCGATATAATGTTGCATTTATTCTAATGTATGCATGTATATATATATTGTTTGTAAACATTTGTGTCTGCATATCAACATGTTGATAGAGTAGACCTTTTCGAATACATAACATGAAAACAGCTTGGTGACTCAAATGAGCGCCAAGAAATCGCCGTACGAATATTATCTCCGCCCAGCGTCACGATCAACAGATAACAAGACACTACGAAATATCTCAGTTAATAATAAGGTTTTTGCTACAAACATAAATTACATATACATACATACATATGTATATACCCTGTAGGGAAACCTCGAACTGGTGAACCAAATTTTTAGTTCCGTACTAGATCAAAATCGCCACCAGTTCAAAAGCAGCGATATGTGGTACTTTTAAAAATCAATTTTAGAAATCTATATCTAAAATTACGAATTTAGAACTGGTTCAAAACTATAGAAAAAGGGATGCAGAACGAACTAGATCTCATCTGGCGAATTTTGAACTATTTCGAAACTATTGAAAAAGGGATGCAGCGGGGGGCTTGTTTACTTTAAATAGATTTTTGCTTGGCGGGTTTTTCGTTCAAATACGCTTTCAGTCTGCACGTCGCAGATGCTTTTTCATAGTTTGGCAATACAAAACTAATATTTGTGTTAGCATCTTAACATTTTGGGACCTTCTGGAATATAACCAATAACAGTCAGCTGCTCTGCAAATTCAGCTACAGCCAATGGTATGTAAACGTGTTTTCAAATGTACAATTTAATTTACATTCATTCAAACAAATTTGATTTCAGATTGAAAATACATTTCTCTGCAAATAATTGAAATTTTCTACCATGGTAACCCAAAAAGAAAACATGTTGTTACTTTTTTCGTTTACAACTGGTTCGAAACTATAGAAAATGGGGTGCAAAGCGAACTAGATCCCATATGTCGAATTTAGGACTGGTTCTGAACTATAGAAAAGGTATTGCAGCGGGGGACAATTTCCAATTCCTATGACATCGCTGTGTTAAATTCGCCAGTTGTTTCCATGCAAAAGAGATTTATCGCGAACTAGTAGTGGTTCTAAATGTACTAGAAGCGCAGCAGTTCAAAACTAGAGATTTTCCCTACAGGGTAAATGCAACTGAATTGTGGTTCTCTGTATGTATGTATGTTAACTGATTAACGAACGCGGCTAACTGATAACTGAGTAAATTTTCACAGCAAAAAATGCATATACTCGCGAAACTAGGGGTCAAATATTTATAAGAAAAGTGAGTTTCCAGGGCTATTTTAAAGAATTTTGAAATACCTAAGATTTGATTAATTCTTTATATTAATTTAAAAAATTTGTGCAATGTAGAATAACAATATGAATACAAAAAAAAGAGAAAATTCTGTAGAAAATAAAGAGATACATTTCTTGGTGCACAAGGATGAATAAGTGTTGAATATGTCCTTTTAAAATTTTATTTTTGGACATTCTTGAAAATTTGCAATATTTACTTTTGAAAAATTTTATATCAAGGATGAATATACAAAAACACAACAACATTTGCGAATTTCGCCATTCTTTCTTAGCTTAAAAAAAAATATTAAAAGACCTTTTCAATCGGTACCTATTCGCTCTTGTGACACAAAAAATTTTAATAGGGAATAGTGAATTATGAACTATGGTAAAGATGAAACGTAAATGTAAGTTGTGGGAAAGAGTGGATCAATATAAAGCCTACAACTCGGAAAAAATATTGGGCTAATCCTTAACTGTGATGGAATATTTAAAAATTATATAGGTGTTAATATTTTCAATTCTCCCGATTTTTGGGAGTGATTTTTCCATTGTTGGGAAAATTATTTTCGGGAAATTGCGCAAAAAAAGCGGAAAATCGAAAAAACTAATAAAATTATATATATACATATAGACTTTTTACCTTAATTCACAAAGGCCCTAAACAACAAATATATAAATGTTTATATTGATATTTTCATATGTTTTAAAATTATGTGAGTTTTGTCGCAAGGTGTAATTTTATCATTGTTTTATTTTTATTTAATTGCAGTTTGTGCAATTAATTTTCCAAGTTCAAGTACAATACGTTTATACAACATTCATATGTGTGCAAGTTGTAGCGTGCGCTACATATTACCGCAATCGGTAAAAAGTTGTAAACGCAAACCGCGGAACTTCTAATTTTTTTTAACAGGTTTAACGTGTACTTGTATTTATTTCAATTGATCAATTGATATAAGTAAATAGAGTGCAATTTCTGAGCTTATAAATACCCATATGCATATGTATATACATATACGCATTCAAATTGCGGATTGCAACCAGATTTATGATGCGAATGACATTTGTAAAAAAAATTTCAAGGTTGCGAATTCGTCAGTATGCATTTTTTTTTATTTGCTTAAGGTCTCAGCTGTATTTAAAGAGAATGTAGTACACCTGTGTACATATGTGTGTGTTTTTGTTTCGAGAAGAGATGGATACCGAGTCAAATTTTCGTTGTTGGTGTTTACGACGGGGTACGAATATGATGTACATATTGTGGGCCGATTGGTCTCCAAGCCAAATTTTATAAGATACTGACTTTATGGCAAGATTTCCAGCGGGAAAAAGCTGTGCTTCGCTGATATTGAATACATCGTCGCTACCATGTCAATACCTTGCGCGTGCGTTTAGAATGATACGCAAGTAGGTAAAATTCCTAGTCCTATTAGAAGCAGAGGATACTGGCTTTACCAAAAAGGTCGAATCCCACACTGTTTCCTAATGACAACAATACTTTTTACAGCCATTTTGTTGCTCTCCTGAAAAATACCCATATTCACATTCAATAGTTTGACACGATAGCGAAGACATAGGTAACAATTTATTATAAAGCTTAAACAGACGGCAGCGTTGATCCGGATCAACTGCAGTTAATTACCGTTTATAATTTAAAAGTGTTATTTTGCCTTCCTCTCCCTTCTCTATATCAGCGCCTATACTTCTACTATACTGTTAAGTCCGTTAGGAAATACATATGTACATATGTAGCTTTGTATTAAAATTATGCAAGGAGTTATAGAAATAAATATATTATAAACTAAATACACCAAAATGTATCCAAAAATTGCTAATATAAAGCATGAAGGCATGTACATTAGGGTGGTCCAAAAAAAAGTAATGTCGGAATTTCCCTAGAATTGTTCTATACCGAAAAATATAACCCCGTTTTTTCATTTTGAAATCAAAAAGTCGCTCAAAGCACTTAAATTTTTCCATGAATTTTTCATTAAAAAAAAAAAACAAGTTTTCGTAGAAATGGTATGGAATTCTAGAAAATAAATATTTTTCGATAGGAAAAGTTTGTTTCTCTTCGGAAGACTGCCAATTTAGAATACCCAATTGGTTAGTTAACCATTTTCTGTTATTAGCAATTTTTTTAGTACCCTTTAAAACCTTAAATGGGTCTCCATTGCATTTAGTGAGGTTTTTAGGGATCCTATAAAAAATAGTTAATAATAGAAAATGGTTAAATAAACAATTGGATATTGTCACTGGAAGTCTCCTTAAGAGAAACGAAGTTTTCCGATCGAAAAATATTGATTTTCAAGACTTCTATACCATTTTTACGAAAACTTGTTTTTTCGCATACAACAAAAACTTGTTTTTGAGCGACCTCTATATATTTTTTATTTCAAATAAAAAAAAGTTTTTTTTTTTATATACATAGAGCAAACCTAGGGAGTGAGAGCATTAAAATTCCGACTTTACTTTTTCGCATGCATTTTTGGGCCACCCTAATGTGCTTCTGTATTTATGCACACATGTATGTGTGTACATATATTATGTGCGCGTGCGAAATCTTGATTCATTTATTTCTAGTTTAACACCATTTTAAAATTTTAAATTGTTTTCAAGACATTAATGAAGAGGCAGCATGACTGGCACATTTTACTTATCAGATGCAAAGGAACTAAATGAAAACAGTACACACATCTTTTTCACTTATTTTAAAGAAGCCTTCACATAAAGCCGGCTATTAAAACTTTTTGTTTTATTTTTTATATTTTTTTCTTATTTATGTACTTACATAAGTACAAATGTATGTACATACCTAAGCAAGTATTGTCTTCACACTCATATTGTTTACACTTTTCCCAGCCACACATTTTCGCTTACCACTCGGTGTCTGGGCCATTTGGTGCCCATTTCCTAGGATCGGCAGTGCTGCTGGTCCTGGTAATTTATTCACCTGCCTCACTTTGCTATGGTTCTTCACCTCCAGATAAAGTATAAAAAGAAATGGTGCTAGCAAAAAGCTCCAAAGTAGAAACCACATTTTGTTTTACTTATTTTACCAGATATTCGAGTAAAATTCAAAATTCCGCCAAAGTTTATTTTGTTTTTTTGTTTATAAAACTCGTTTTAACCGCAGCGCACAAATGACGATCGACAACTAAGCGCGGTTACTCGCGCGCTTCAGTATTTCAATATGCACAATGCGATGTATTTTAATATTGCACATATAATAAATAAAAAACTCTTTTAGCTAACAATTGATAAGGCTAACACACGTCTTTTATGCGCACAGCCTATAAGTATGCAAAAGTTTTGGTAGTTCCGCCAGTGATCGTGAACACTGATTGATTTCTGCTGAGTACCGCGATCGTTAGGTACCATTTTCAAAATTTGTCATAATTTAATAAAGCTTTTCATTTTTCCTTTCCTCAGCTACACAATACTCAACGTCTGCAATTGCCAAGGTTTTTTTGCAGCTGCGCGCATTGCATTTTATTGCATTTTCATGAACATTCGAAAGGTGAGAGCAGCAGTTGAGAAAAACGACATTAGAATGGTGGCATAAATTTTTTAGTTGATACGTGCGACACGCACTTTGCATACATATGTACATACATACATACAGTGACTCAAACAAATGACCATGTGTTGGTTTTCTTTTAAATATTCGCAATGTTTTTCGAGCTGCATTTTTTTTGTTATTTATTTTTTTTTGTCAAAATACTGTTCAAGCTTTAACCAAAACCATATAAATTACAGTTTCAAATTCTCAAAAATCAGCGCGATTTTTTAGCCGGTTAAAACTTGCACTTCATTAGACTTAAATTGTATGGGCCATTAAACTGCATACCCAAAAATGTTGTAACGAATTAGATTAAAAAGTTGAAATTTTGTTGAATTTTCCTAAAAGTTGTATAAAGTTTGATTAATGCTTGGACGGTCATTTGTTTGCGTCACTGTATGTACATATGTATGTAGCTATGCAAATGCCAAGATCATGGGATTGCCCTATACCGCGATTTCATCATTTTTGTATTGGCTGGAAATGTATTTCTTTTTCGAAATCATATGAAATTCGCTCTTATGGTATGTATTTGAATCGCTATTCTAACCAACTTAACGCTTGGCAAATATATACATAAAATAAGGCATGAGGATGTACGAGTCAACCGGAACTCGAACCCAGTCTCAGCGTCTCGAAATACATGTCGGTGGGTGGGTCTGGTTAAAAGCACACACCACTTTTTTTTGTGCCTTTTGTTATGCGATTGTTGTTATGGAGATGCTTGCCGGTCCCACACCATATCCTTTTGTTGGTAATTTATTTCAAATCGGACTCAAGCCAGATACTAAGTGGACTTACTGACAAAAACTAAAAATTTTTCTTTAGTTTTTTGTTAAATTCAACAATTTTAATAGCAAGTTTCACGGAAGTCATTTAAGTGAAAACTGTTAATTTCTATTTGAATTTAAAATGTATAAAAACTGAAAAAATCATTTTCACTTAAATTCCTCGTGAATTCTCAAAAAAGTTCAAAATTACAACTTAGATATACACACAAACATACAGTGCCGGACAAAAGTATTGGCACAGAGATTTTTTTCGCAATATCTGCAGTCTTTTATTCTAATTTATTTTCGATAATTCTTTATAAAAACAAAGTTCGTCCTACACCAAAAAACATAAAAACGAAATCTCTAAACTTTGTGCAAACCTCCGGAAAAT